CACTTTTAGTTTCAGTTATATGGGATTACGTTCAATTCAAAACCTAAGTGGTTTAGACTACTTAACTAAGCGATCTGAATCTTAATACTGACAATAATGGAATTCAGTAAAAGCAAACAAACAGGAAGATTATTATATGACTTTTTCCATAATTGTATAATCATAATACAGCAGATTATATTGAGTAAAGTTGTCCATCTTCCCCAAATGCCCTGGTACTGTCGAAGGTAAGGATAGTCCGCTTTTCCTCTCGAAATGCTCTCATATGGCCACGCGTATATAGTTACTGTCAGGAATTTCTACTCATTTCCCTCTAGTGAAGTGTTATTTACGAAATCGAGAGGATATAAAGCGAATGTCCGGCGCTTAAACAGGCTTAGCGGGTACCGGAAATCTACTTGAAGGATTTGGGGAACTCAACCAACAGTCCACATGAGCTCCAGGGTCCTGGTGGAACAAACGGTGCATGAACTTGTTCTTGTTCGCAGGTTATCATCGGACCATACTTCCTAGCGTTACTCAACTGCTTTGTGGATCAGATCTGTTGGCCGAAGGTGAGGGAAGTGTCCCCCTAAGAAAACCACCTCTTTCAATTTGGGAACCCGGACGGTATCCGAGCCCACGCACAACTTTAATGTTAACAACTTTGTGTGGCGCATATATATTTTGTTACCTATTTACCGACGTTTATGTTCTTAAATATAAATAAAATTTTGCTATCTTTCAACCGTTTAGTGGGTGATATAATTAGTGTTTGAAATATATATATATATATATATATATATATATATATATATATATATATATATATATGATGATTTTGAGTTTCCCGACAGTCAATATTAAGGATAACATTTGATCAGTCTCTATTGGCGCATAATCATTATGAGCTGATGGTATCGATAATGCAGCTTAATATAAATTTTAATAAAACTGGACGGTAATGAGCAGTAGAATTCAGAACATGTGTTTCGTCCTATTTGAAATTCTTCAACTAAATGTGTCTGGACCCTTGGTGATATTCACACTGGGACTTAAACCTACCTCCTTCCATTCTCGTTTATATATATATATAAAAGCAGTGAAAATTAGGGAGACTAAACTTTAAGAATATCATTCAAATAAATAAAGTGAACGGGTAATTCAGAATGGATACTGGTTCTATAGATCAAAAGGGAAGATAAAGAGTAAGTTCGTCTGCATCACTATAACCAATTATTAGCCATTTATCACCGAAACTGTTCAACCACTAATCGCAGTTATCACGCGGACTCTAACCATATAGTTCACACCCACTAACATGTCATTATCTTGTTTTGATTGTCCCTAGCTTTTATTCAACTTCTGTCACCATCAGTGGTGAAGTGTAGCCGTCTTCTAAAACAGTAAGTAAGGAGTTGTGGGGATTATTGAATTTCGTTGGAATCATGAACCGGTAAGTCAAATCACAGATGGAAACTTGGAAGCACTGAAAGATGGTTTCGTCTTACTACGGGATTCTCCAGCAGTGCTTAGTGACTGAGAATTTCTTTCTAGCAAATTTTTGTTATTCGATAATAATTAACATAAGTTATTATTTCCTTTAGTTGATGATAATCAGTATTATTCAAAATTATTTTATTTTTAACAGTTTGGTCATCTGTTTGGTGGCCTTTACTTGGTGTTTCACTTGAATTATTAAGTTTAGTCATAGTATTTGCATTTTTCCGTTACTGTCGTCGACAAAGAATTCGTTATGGGCTAAGTAATGATACAACGGAGACTGTAGCTTCATTCGGTCGTTCACGTCTACTAGACATAGATGTAGATGGAGATCAAGTTGAAATGATGAAAGTAATTAATCCTGCATCTATAACCATATCATCAACACCATCCAATTCATCATATAATTTGCATACTCGTGGACCGATACCTTATATACGTTTATGTAATCAAAAAATTAATCATATGAAGGATAAACATACCGCTAATACTACTACTACTGCTGCTACTACGGATAATCATGGCAATGATAACAATAATAATCATTATTTAACAAAAGCCAACATAAATAATCAAGCGACCGGTGGTTATTCAAATTCCAGTTTAATTCAAGATTCAATAGATGCTGAAGTTGATGCTATGGTGGTCAATGTACAAAAATTATCAAATGAACATGACTTAAATGCTGATGATGATTATTTTTGGGATTCTGATACTGGAAATAACGATGAAGATAAACGAATTAAAATAAGGAGTAATCATCAAACAATTGCTTAATGTTATAAATATATACTGTACGTGGAAGAAAAAGTAAGCTTCATTTAATTTTACTGATATGTCTTTACAATAAAATTGATGGATTATTACTAAGAGTGGATCTAAGATGTATGCTTTATTCTATATGGGACGTATCAGTCTGACGTGCCTGCATTCTAGTGTCCATGTTGAGACTTGAACTCAGTACCTTTCAATTTAAAACGTGTAATCAAATGATTATATCGAGTCAATCCGAAAAGAATGCAGATATCCCAACAAAAACTGATCAAAATTTGATCTTCATTATGAACGATGGGATAATTCAAATCCTTACTATTAATAATATGAATTTTATTAAAATACTTTGACCGATTAATTTGGTTAATTAATTCATTTTCGTTTCAACAGTTGAGATCATGAGTCAATTGGAGCTAGACCATCATGGAAAAGCTGGAAGCAGTGGACGACCGTTTCGTTCTATTGTGGGGCTCCTCATTAGTATTCATCAACGATCCTCCCTCGCGAGATTCGAACAGTGCTTCCAGGTTTTCCATGTTGGTCTAGCTTTAATTGGCTCATGATCTCAACTATTGAAATTACTGTAATATCCACGGAAATCTTCTGATACTAATTCGTTTTCACTTGAAATAATACGCTTGTAACCTGAATAGTATAGAGTAATTACAGGAAATTTAATGTTAACAATTAGATCGAATGAATATATAATGTTTCATGTCATATAAGAGTTTTCATTGTTTACCACAATACTTAAATAAGATCCACTTACTTACCTACTTAGACCTGTTACTCCTCCTGAAGGAGCATAGGTTGCCCATCAGCACTCTTCATCCAACTCTGTCCTGGGAAATCATTTCCAGATCTTTCTAGTTGTTATTCATCCTTTTCATATCTGTTTCCAATTCTCGATGCAGTGTATTATTTCGCCTCCCAGCTATTAGATGGATGATTGTCGTGCTGTATTCTTAAATTAAGGGAGAACTAAACTCTAACTGTATAACCAAAAGGTAAGGTATTAGCCTCAAAAATTGATGATACTGTATTTAGTCTCTGGTATGGCCATGAGAAATCAATACTTCGGAATCTTATACTAGGCAAAAAGCAATTGTATACTCTTAAGTAACCGAGCCAATTTGGGAGAAATTCTATCTATAATTCAATGTAATCTTCAAAAGTTCTTCAGTTGATTACTTTTACCCGATAACTATTTGTTGAGCAGAAGTTCGATAAAGCATGGAACTAGTTAGAGTTTTATTGATCTACTGGAATTGAAATATGATTTGTAAAACATAATTCTTATATATTTGAATTCTAAGATTCAATTAATTGAGAGTGATTTGTGTAATAATTTTATTTTATAGGATTTGGCCTTCCTCTTTTCCGTTTCCCTTCAGGATTCAAAGTCAGGGCTTGCCTCGTGGTGCAGTTTGATGATTTCCTCAGTGTGTCCTATCCATTTTTATCGTTATTCCCTAATTTCCTGTTAAGCTGGAAGTTGGTTTGTCCTCTCCCACAGTAGACCGACAGACACTGAGTATCTTGAGTAGACAACTATTTATAAATACTTGTACCTTCTTGATGATGGTTGTAGTAGTTCTCCAAGTTTAAGCTCCGTACAGTAGAACTGTCTTGACGTTCATATTGAAGATTCAGACTTTAATATTGGTTGATAGTTGTTTTGAATTCCATATGTTCTTCAATTGTAGGAATGCGGTCCTTGCTTTGCCAATCCTAGCCTTCACGTCTGCATCAGATCCTCCTTGTTTATCAATGATGCTTCCCAGGTTTAAATTAATTTATGCTTCCATTGATGAAAGTAATTAATTGATAGTTGACAGAAATTGATTTAAAGAATGTCTTTAGAGAAAAAAATATTATGAATATTTGTAAATAATCTAAATTTAATCTTTAAGAAATAAAATTTCATTCCATGTCATTGTATATATCGGTTGTTTTAATTTCAATTCTTTTGTTTTTGGACTAATCTATAGAATTTACTCAACATGAAATTACAGATTTAGATCAAGCTTAAATTTTGGGAATATTTATTGATTTATTTGTTGTTGTTGATAAAGTGCAATAGTTTGTTTACTCTCCAAGTTTAAACTTATTTCTCTATACGAAATTCATTGTATGTAGTAGCTGATAGTTATTTATTTCATAGTTAATACCATTGTTACCATTGTAACTCTGAATGTATTGAACAAATGTTTCGTTCTGTTATAAAATTCTTGAACAGTAAGCATTCAGAAAATGCCCCGTATAGTAATTAATCATATGCTCACTGCTGACTAATTTCGAGAAGTAATTCCAAAGTTCTAATGAAAAATGGAGTTCAACTGTGTCCAAGTACATTGGCAGATAGTTGCGCAACATTATAAATTGATGGAAGTTAAATATATAAACCATAGGATGCCAACTCAGTAATCGAATGGTTAAGCGTTCAGGCGTGAAAGCAAAGATCTTAAGTTCTACTCTTAATGCTAAGATTGTCGATGGTCACCGCTAAGTAGTCCCACACTGTGGAAAACACCTGTTCATTATAAAATCGAAACACTTCCACATATCTTCTAGAATGATTATAAGTATTCGTTAGCCTATAAATCTTTTCATTTTATTTATTATTTCCATGTAATTAGTTCTTTTTTTTTTCTTTACAATCCACTTATATTTTTACTTTTTGAATTCATTAACCATTAGAATTCAGTGGTCATTTGGAATGAAAAACAAACAAACAAACTTAATGTAACAAAAGTATGATTTATAATTCTAAAATGTCTACAACTGCATATCATGATCATGAACTTAACAAATTATACTTTCAATTGAAGAATTACATCTCTTTAACTCTATTTATATCTTAATGGAATGTTATCTGTCCATTGAAATACATTACGTTTTCATTCAAATATTAATAAAATATGTGTATCATAGTAATAATAAAATTATGAGGAAATATGAATATATATATATATATATATATATATATATATATATGCATATATAACAGATTAATATTGGTGGGATTCGATCCGAAAATGAGGTTAGTTCAATTATGGTTCTAAAAAATAAATAAATAAATAAACAATTATTGTTTATTATTATTATTATTGTTTCATTCATTCATTCATTATTGACAACGTTTAATCACTATGATTATTGCATTTATTTAAATAGATTAATGATTGTTGATCTGTATATTTAAACTACTTTCATCTTTTAATCATTTCATTATAATTGTGCAATAAATAGAGAGTGAGAGAGAGAGAGAGAGTAATGTCTTAAATATTTCATTCCTTAGAAAAATACACTTGAAGGCTTATGTTGTACATTATTATTATTATTATTATTATTTTATATAGAATTATGTTTTTTTATATTTACAAGTCATCTTGATGTTATTCATTCAATTGAATAAACTCTAATTTACAATTGTCAACTGTGAAACTCCTCTGCATATTTTATTGTGATATTTAACATGACTATTATTATTTATTGTTATTATTACTAATTGTTTACCTGACCTAATCATATCTCTTAACAATGATGTTGCTATCTCTTTGATTCTTATTGTCAATTAACTATTTATTGGTGTCTCTTTTTTTTTGTTTTCTTTCAGTTCTCAAAGTTTTAGCAATTTTTTACATTTTTAACTGGATTTCAATAATACAAGTTTCATATGTATGTATATTTGTTTGTGTGTGTGTGTGCGCGTCTGCATTTACTTTCTTTTCTGTTCAGATTATGCTATGAATGTCAATAAAACCATTGAAAGTGAATTCGTTTTTGAAAAGTCCTAATTTTAAATTAATGCCTTCTTACATAGTAATTGCCCCCAAATGCCATGGTATGGCCGAGAGTGGGATGGGCCAGCCCTCTCTCTCGAAATGCTCTCACATAGCCACGCGTATACAGCCTCTGCCAGGGAAGTTCTACTCACTGCCTTCTCGTGGCGGAGGTGTTGTTTATGAAATTGAGAAGACGAAAAGCGAATGTCCGGCTCTTTAACCAGATTCCAAACCAATGGTGCACATGGGCTCCAGTATCCTGCGGGAACAAATGGCGTATGAACCAATCGTTGGTCACCGGCTACCATGGGACTGCATCTCTTCACAATTCTCCATTTCCTTGTGGGTCAGACCTTTAGGCCCAAGGCTCGGGGTGTGGCTTCCTAAGATAACCACCTGCTTCGGTCTGGGCACCCGGTCAGTATCCCAGCTCTCACACAAATCGAATGATTTATGTGGCGCATATCTATTTGGTGCCTCCTTGTACCAATGTTTATGTGTTTGAATAAAATAAATTATAAAGAACAGTAATTGTTAGTATATACTTATGATATTAACTTGATGCCGGCACAGTGGTCTAGTGGTTAAGTGCTCGCGCGCGAGGCCAGTAGGTCCTGGGTTCGAGCCCCGCGTGGTGCGGGACCGTGGATGCGCAGTGCTGAGGAGTGCCACAATAGGACGGAATGGCCGTCCAGTGCTTCCAGGTTTTCCATGGTGGTCTAACTTCAATCGACTCATGATTTCAACCTGTGAAAATTAACTGATTTCTTGATGAATTATTTATACAGGATAAAGTAAGTGAAATATTTATTTACTTGGGCAAAATACTACTTTTTTGTTTATTTAAAGGATTAAATTTATTCCAAAAAAGAAATCGGTAGCAAATGCTAATGTCTATTTAAATTAAAGAAAGAACATATTTAACAATGAATCAAGCTTTCAATAACAACCATTAAGACAAAGAATAAATTCAATTGAAATCATAAACCGATCTAAGTTAGACCAGCATTAAAAACCTGGAGGAATTAAACGGTCGTTTTATTCGAGTATGGGATTACTCAGTAGTGTACATTCACGATTCCGTACATTGGAATCGAATACAGAACCTCTAGTATTGCACGCGAATTTTTAACCTATAAACCACTAGGTCAGTGTTGATGTCTAACTTTAATCAATCCATGACGCTTCTTGACAATCATTGATTGTCTTCAGTGGATAACTGCCTCATAATTGACACGGTTTGATTCTACTGGTTACGGCTTTTGACTAGAACTCTGAATCCAGTCACTAGTGAGCTCATGATAATTATCAGTATTTGGGTTGTTGATATTGTTGAATTTCATTGAAATCAAAAACTTATCTAAGTTAAAACACCATCGATAACTTATAAACACTTTTGAAGCTATATATTAACACCACTGGATACAGGCTCAGCGATAAATAGAATTAGGTAGTAGCTATTTAGGTAGATTAGAATTTAAGAACCAAATAACTGGAGACTGAATAAAGCTCACTTTTTAATGAATAGGTAGATTCACATATTATCAACTATTTCATTTTTTCAACATTCAGTAAGAGGGATACTGTTTGTTTTCTACATAGACTGAACGAGTCCAAACTGTGGCCACTTACCATCTTAAAATCAAGTGGCTGGCTGAGGCCGATCATACGCTTAGTCAAAATGGCAAATATATGTATACCCACGATTTGTGTACATTTTTCTCGGTTTGTCGGCCAAAACTTCCTAGTCATTCTAAGTCTTCTCATTCGTGTAATAAGTTAGTCAAACTTCTATGAATCATACATAGTTCTCTATGAATCGAATGACTGAGGAATGCGATATAATTGTAAACATAGCGTTTATGTTTAAGTTCAATCCACATAGAAGTTTTATACACCTTTGTATAATTTATTCTAGTAGAATCTTGGTAGTACAAAACCTGGAACATTTTCAGTCGTCTTATTAATATCGCTGTTTAATTGTGGTGAATACATATTTCTCTAAGAAGATCAATGCAGATACAAATGCACTAAGTGTTCAAACATGTGAAATATATTTTTTGATTTCCATTGTATTACATTAATTGTGGTTCTGACGGACAAAGGAAATTTAGTTTCCTTAATTTTAAAAACGATATTTATTGAAGAATCAGATTGACATTAAAACGATTGGATTTTTCTTTATCCCTAAAGTTAAGTTTCGAAAACAAGTTCGAACTTGAATCTAAATTAGTGATAACATGATTACCAGAGCTCATTGTTGATTAAAAGATAACTACTGAACAAATTATTGGCTTTTATATCCATTTTTTAAAATTATGAATAATGTCGGGTGACAGGTTTGAGGAGTACAGCGGCGGATGGTGTAAAAAATTGGTCATTATTGTATGGGCTGGTGTAAATAATAAATTTAAACCACAGTTGTTTTAATTTCATTCAAAGAATTATAGACGGTACAAAACAAAACGTTTAAACGACTAAAAATTACTACAAAACTTAAACCTTTATTTTCTAATAACAAAAATAACTTGACGGTAATCTTAGTCAGTCACCTGAGCTCAAATTAACAGTCATTGAAAACGGCTGATATCAGTTAATATTACAAATCAACATCAAATTATACAATAGTCATTATACAAATCATCCTTATAATTATCATTTATTGACTTGTTTCAATACAATTATTCATAAACTTCTAAGTTATAACCATGTCTGGAGTGAGACAATTCACTGATAACATTAAGTGACGATTACTATAGATTATGAAAGTAATATGACTCAAAATTTAAGTCAGTAAACTCAAATTTTTTGACCAAATGGTATAATGTTTACCTATAGTTCTCCTATTCGATTGTACGAATATTTATCAATGTTTTATACCGGAAAGTCACAAAGTTGAATTCATGAGTTAATTGAAGCTAGACTACCATGGAAAACCTGGAAGCACCGGATGACTGTTTCGTCCTAGTATGGAACACCTCAACACCGTTGGATTCCGGCCGACTCAGGGTTCTAGAGGTTAAGCGTTCACACACTAGACTGATAGATCCTGGATTAGAATCTCGCGGGGTGAGATCATGCACTGTTGAGGAATCGCATACTACAACAAAACGGCCGTCCAGTGCTTCCAGGTTATCCATGTTGATCTAGCTTCAGTTGATTTATAAATTCAACTTATAAAAATTACTGAAATCTCCACAAAACCCCTTCTACTATGTCCCACAATAGGACTAAACGGCCGTCCAGTGTTTCCAGGTTTCTCATGGTGGTCTAGCTTCAACTGACTCATGATCTTAACCATTGAAATTACCAAAATCTCCAGAAAACCCATCTAATACTATTTTTTAAAAGATTTCTAAACCATTGGAAATTTCTGACGAAAGCATTATTCAATTACGATGTATTTACATGTTTATAAATCGTCTATTGTTACATTTTTTTTCTTTTTCTTTCTTTTTTTTCTTAAAAATTACATAATATGTATTCACTTGGTATTGTTTGAGTTGTATCTTCCCATTGAGGTTTAAGACTGAAATTGATTAGTCTGTTATTGGCATATGTATTTTATTGATTTTCATGTTTCTATGTAAATCGATGATACCAACCATGATATTTATCACCAGCTAAATGATTTGTATAAATTATATTCTTTTCAGTTAAATGAAATACTTTTTTTAATATATTTATTATCATCAATTCAATATCATATTGTAACCATCTAGGTGTATAACCATCACGTGATGACCGTGCTATAGTAATTATATTTGGTTGATATGGGATTGTTAATAAAATTTGTGTAAAATGTATAGCTAATTTTAATAAATCATTTGATATTGGTAAAAATTCATCTACTAATGATTGATTCGGTAAATTATGCCCTAAACATAAATGTATTTCTGGTATATATTGATAAGTTATTAATGAATTAGTAAAACAAACACCAATATATTTTAATACATCAATTTGATGATATGTAATTGTATTATTTATAAATAATTCATTTAATTTTATTAAATATAATGTATAATTATAACAGAATATATCAGTGATTTGAAGAGTTTTATTGATTTTCTTTAAGATCATCATTAATTGATTATGATCGATTATTGATTTATAATTATTTCTTAAATGTTTATTGATATAAATATATTCAAGTAACCAACGATAAATTTGATCAATATGTATTTCATTAATATAATGAATTGGACAAAATATTAATGAAATAATTGAATTCATTGTATGAATAAAATTTATATTTAAACCAGATTTTAATAAATTATGTGTAACTAGGTGTACACCAAAAAAATCTTCATCAATATCAAGTATTAATGGTAAATACTCATCATGACGATGATGATGATGATGATGAGGAGGAGGAGGAGGAGGAGAAGGATTTGGTTGATTACCTTGGTGATCAAATGTTATTGTTTTAGAATGATTTATTAAATTTAAATTTAATAATTTATTTAATGACCAATAATTTGAATAACGTAAAATATTTGATGCTGTTAATGAATTTAATTCAATATAATGATATAACCATGTTTTAGGACATTGATTTGATGATAATATAAAATCATTTAAAGGATTATCTTGGTTACGAGTTTTACAACTACCCTCTTCTTCGTTATCAACATCATTATCAGTATTATTATCAGTAGTATTAATATTAAGACACATACAAATTTGTTTTGTATTATTAATTGTTGTTATACCTAAACTAGATGTATATGCATAACTTGTATTAAATGTCCAATATGGATATATAATATATACAGTTTGAATAAGATTCGTAATAATTGCACTCTGAAATTGAACAACAACAAAAAGCGGAAGCAAACTATAAAGCAACTCTTTAAAAAATGTGATTTATTAGTTATTTAAAAGTTATATTCAAATTAAATTATATTTATTAGTAATATTATATGGTTAAACATTAGAATCATCAACATAGTCACACTTGATGAAGAAAATCTGGAATATGTGGAAAACTTCAAGTACCTGGGTAACGTCATCAATCAACAAGGAGAATATAGATGCAGGATTGGCAAATCAAAAACATCATTCATACAATCCAAGAACATATCGAACTCAAAACAACTGTCAATTAATATCAAAGTCACAATCTCCAATACCAACATCAACACAGTGAGTTCTGCTATATGCAAGTGAATAGGACACACACTGAGGAAATCATCAAACTGCATCATGAGGCAAGCCTCAACTTGGAATCGTGAAGTGGAGTGGAAAAGTGTAAGGCTTAATAACACACTGTATCGAGAATTAGAAGTAGACATGAGAAGGATGAATAGGAAGTGGAAAGAATGGGAAAGGATTGCCCAGGAGGGGGGGTGGATGGATAATGCTGGTGTGTGGTCTATGCTCCTAGAAGAGGGGTTACAGGCGTAATTAACTAAGTAAACACTAGAATATTCGTAAACGGAATCTTTTTATCTGGATAAACGTGATAAATAGTCGTACTTTTTATAACCTTAACTTCAGGCAATACTAACTGTCATCAAAATTTCATACATAAGTCGGTAATAAGCTAAAATCAGTATGGGGGTTGTGGAGATTGTTAAGTTTTTGGTTGAGATCATGTATTAATTGATGTCAGACCACCGTTGGAAACCTGGAAGTACTGGACGGCCGTTTCGTCCTAGTATGGGACTCCTCAGCAGTGGTTGATGTTAGACACTAACACCATCGAATGCCGGCTCAGTGGTCTAATGGCTAAGTGCTCAGGCGCGAAGCCAGTAGGTCCTGGGTTCGAATCCCGCGGGGTGCGGGATCGTGGATGCGCACTGCTGAGGAGTCCCATACTGGGACGAAACGGCCGTCCAGTGCTTCCAGGTTTCCAACAGTGGTCTAACATCAATTAATACATGATCTCAACCAATAAGCTAAAAGGCAAATCAAGATGTTTCATCACTCCATTAGGTCGATTACTGTTAGATTGAACCACTAAAATAGATACAGAGTACCTGATTGAAGTCAACGTGATATCATAATCATTCGTTTGTGACGTTGATTAATCTAGTCCTTGTCTTTCCTTAGATCTTGAGTTTGAGTATAATATTATATTTTTTTATGTTTCAGGAGTTCATTATTTCTTTTCAAATCATATCGTCTATGCCATTAATTTATTACACTTTTACCGATATTGTTAATACTCCAAATACTTTGAAATTTGTCTTGATAATTCCATCTCATTGTAATGACCGTTGCAAATATGTCCCAGGATCTATGGATATTCAGCAATGACAATCAAAAACATCAATAACTTCACCATAAAATGTATTTTGATATCAAAAAACACAGTAATACATATATACATTGCAAAACTGGAATTATTTGAGAAATTTATCAATTAATTGTTCAACAGTGTTGAACGGGTAAGAGAAAATAAAATTCATTATTAGAATAACACATTAAGAAAAATATAGAAACAAGTATGTAGAGAAATCTAGAATAAAAGATAAACAGCAACAGTTCTATTACATGAATTGAAAACGTTTTACATAATCCATTGTAATACAACCAAATTTTGAAAAGTCAGTAAAAAAATGCATTTGACTAGCTAAGAAACTGTCATTCACAAGAGAGTTATAAATCCCTCTGTTACAAGGAATACATTTTAAAGAAAAACTCAAAGACAACATTAAACCAAACGTCATTCTAACCTAAGGACTTTGCAATCGGAAAAGAGCGAATCCATCGTATATCCAGTTTCAGGTTAAGTATTTCTGTTTTCAACAGCTTTTACCTTCTTATATGACGTTACTACGCAGATAACATACTTCTGTAAAGATGACTAACCATGACGAAGAGTTAAGTCACGAAAACTCTTAGATATATTAGATATTAGTAATTACAGATACGCCACGAAAAATATTTGAAGCATGATGAATTATAAAAAGATTTGTCTTGTTGAGACGAACCTAGTGACCAGTAATGAAAAGCTTCATTATGAGGCATCTAAACCTCTTAAATACAGAAAAAATATTTTATTCATTAGTCTAACCATAATCGTCCATCTCTGTAATAGATTGGGCAAGCACATGCCTGTACTTATGCACCATTTCAATATCAAACGGTAGATGAGATATTTGAAAAAAGACAGGTTATTCGAGGAAGTCGATCATACATTAATTCAGGGTCACAGTATATGTCATTTGTTTGGGTTGGAAGTTCAATCACATGTATACCTATGATAGATGAGCATGGTAACTGGGTTTGCAAATTAAATCTTCACATTCACTTTAGTCTTTTTATTTACATAATGGGCTTGATATACCACAGTAACTATATGATATAGAAGAACCGGACAGTAGAATTTAACAATATCACAAGTTGAACTATTCACGATAGAGCTTTGAGGTTTCTGCATGAATTTGAAAATCTATCACTCGTTATTAATCACTAGATAAACAACTTATTAATAAAGTAACATTATAAATCAATTAAAGCACTTTAGAGTAATGCAAACAAGTCATTTCCATTATCGTTAAATAAAAATACTGTTAAATGAATGAGGATAAAGACTCTGTGAATGTTTGAGGTCAGTACCTTTTCAGTGTGACAATAACCATCCTTTCTTCAGTGTTCAACAAGTGTACAGTATCAAGAATTTTCGAGGATTTTTTCATGTATTTAATGAGTAAGTGTTGTACGTGGGAGGTTAATTTTCACTGGAGATTTCATTCCAATAATCTAATGCTATCTGCTTGTTTTTTTATGAACACTCAGCTCTAGCGTATCCCAGTTTGAGGGATGAAAAAGCAGGTAAAGTGAAAGGTAGAACTTGAAATGGAATCCTTGGTTGGCATTTTGCTCACAAATGCAGTACTCAATCAGTAAATTAACAGGAAATTCCCTGAAAATACTTGATGCTATATACTTATTGAACGGATTGAGAAATGGATGAGTTGCACATTTACAGAAATGTATCTTATCTCATTTCCTATCAGTGAAGTCTTAACTTCATTTACCTTTGCACTCATTCATTAGTAATAAAACATAAACTTCTCAAGGTTATTTTAGGAGCAACTGAAATGATACAGTATAGAATAGTATATCATATTAAGAAAAGTACTTTAACTATAACTACCAGTGAAAAAATTTTCTATCAACTATGAATGGATCGATACTGAAATTGAAATCCAACATAATGATGGACAAGAGACTGGTTGTTCACTATAATCATTTTATTGTATAGAGGTCTCACAGTTGATGATTTGGGTGTCCCAGCTTTACAGGGGTACTTCAAATAAAACATTTGCAGCAACTAGCATTCTTATACGTTGACATGATTTATCCTTACTTTTGGACGGATGAATTAATCTGATCTTCCCATTCATTTAGTCATTTAGATGTGACTTTAAGCATGTGTGTATAATCGTACATATGTGTTTTATGGTTCCTATAGATGTTGACTTACGTTTTAATTAAATCATAACGTCTGTCTGAAAAAAAGTATGCCTGAAATAAATTCATTTAACTTAATTGGTATTTAACTTCTTATTACTGTGGTAGCTCAAACGGCGTTATTCTAAGTGGAATATACCAAATCAATCGGAGAATTTATGTTAATGGCTCCATTATCATTCTTTATGGAGTCATGTCGTGGGGTTGGGCACCAACATTAGTTGAAATGTTTACATCAAACTAGTCAGTTTTAAAATGAATGAAATATCACATTCATCGATTATTAATTCCCAACTAATTTCATGATATATAGTCCTGCATGAATTCGCTCGAATTCTATTGATCATATTACGATTCACCTAGGTATCCAAGTGACTCGAAACTTGATATTTCATACAGATCTCCTACAACTAACTAATATATTAAGATTTTACTTTAAGACAACTGTAATAGATTCTCACAAGGAATCTGTGTATTATTGACTTTATATCAACCATTCAGTCAATACAAAATGAAATTTAACAAAAATAATCCACGGTAAGAATAGTTTTAAATTAGAATTGATTACTAGAAACTGACTTATCTTTTAGCCATTAATATCCTTACTTCATTTATCCCAAAAAATCTAAATAAGCAAAAGGGGGAAATTTGATTTATTACATTCTTGAATATATATATATATATACTAGAGGTGAAGTGATATATACCATTTTTTGTGAAATCTACAACAACAATTCTATACACCTTCTACAGTTTGTAAAGAGACTAGAAAAGAATGTTCGGAATATGATTTCTCGTTTGTTTGTTTTTTCTTAAGTAAAAAGAAAAAATGTGTTAAGTTTCTGTTGTTTCATAACTTGTCTAAAGTGTAGGAAAATGCTAGCTCAACCTCTCTATATTACAATTCAATACATAAACAAACACATACAAACATTCACTTCTTAAGTGGATTTCACCAATAAAGCTGATTTCTTGTATTCTTTATCCTATTTCAGTCGATTATCGTTCTTTTTTTAATACATGTAGTCGGAACTCGGTGACATTTAAACATTTATTGCTTCGAAAAATGTCAATACTGATAAATTTTTTTAATATTTTTCAGTATCTATGTGCCTAGAATTGATTTCATGCATCTTGAAATAAAACGATAAGTCACCTGATATTAGGTCGTGATTGGCCAATAAGAGAAAACGGATATATAGGACTTTGCCAAATAATACAATACTGTCTTACGCGATCATTAATTCTGGTCTATAATCTAGTGTAAGGTATTCTCAATGTGTATATCGTTGATCCAACTCGATTAGATCAAAATACTTCTCACTTAGTTCTATCATAGAGAAGAGAAATCTTCCAGTAATCAGATCATATTTCAAAATGAAATGTATTTTTTTCTACGATGAATTACTGTCCAGACTAAAATCTATATCAGACATCAAATTCTGATGTGAATTAATTTGTTAAGGAAGATATTTTTAAAGTAACATAAGTAAAATTGACAAACGTTGTAACTTACGCCTGAAACTCTTCGTCAAGGAGCATAGGCCACACACGAGCATTATACATCCGACTCCCTCCTGGGCAATCCTTTCCAATTCTTTCCACTTCCTATTCATCCTACTCATGTCTACTTCCGATTCTCGATACAGTGTGTTATTAAGCCTTACTCTTTTCCACTCCACTTCACGATTCCAAGTTGAGACTTGCCTCATGATGCAGTTTGATGATTTCCTCAGTGTGTGTCCTATCCACTTCCAACATCTTTTACTAATTTCCCCCTCATCTGCAAACTGGTTTGTTATCTGCCACAGCAGGTTGTTGTTGATGGTATCCGATAAACAGATATTGAGTATTTTGCGTGGACAACTATTTATAAATACCTGTAGCTTTTTGATGATGATTGTGGTAGTTCTGGAAATTTCAGCTCCATATAGCAGAACTCACTGTGTTGATATTCGTATTGGAGATTGTGACTTTGATATTATTTGACAGTTGTTTTGATTTCGATATGTTCTTGGATTGTATGAATGATGTTTTTGATTTGCCAATCCTTGCCTTTGCGTGTGTATCAGATCCTCCTTGTTCATTGATGTTTCCCAAATACGTGAAAGATTCCACCTCTTCTAGAATTTATCCATCAAGTATGATTGGGTTGGTGTTCTCCGTGTTGTATTTGCAGATCTTTCTTCTTCCATCGTGTATGTTGAGACCTATTGATGCAGAGGCTTCTGCTACACTGGTTGTCTTTATCTGCATTTATTGGTATTTATTAGATAGAAGACTCAGATCATCTGAGAAATCCGAATCGTTTAGTTCCGTGCAAACTGTCCATTGATTTTCATGCTTCCCCTCATATGTGAAGGTCACCATAGTCCAGTCAACCACCAAATGAAAAAGAAAGGTTGGGAGTAAGCATCGTTATCTGACTCCAGTCCTCACTTGCAATGCGTCTGTCAGCTGTCCTCCATGCACCATTTTGTAGTGTAGTCCGTCGTATGAATTCCGGGTGATTTTGAGGATTTTCCCAGGTACACCATAGTGTCGAAGAAGGTTCCGAAATGTTCTACTACCCACGCTGTCAAATTCTTTCTCCTAATCAGGGAAGTTGATATATAGTGACGACTTCCATTCAATTAATTGTTCAATGATGATCCGTAGTGTCGAGATTTGGTCTGTGCACGACCGATCCTTACAGAATCCATCCTGTTGATCTCTTATCATATAAGAACCAGAAGTAACATAGACTGTTCGTGGATGAAATAAATACACCAATGGTATAACGTTTATTTAAACGCTAACCGGGATAAATGTCATACCGTTAGTGTATTTATTTCATCCACGAACAGTCTATGTTACTTCTGGTTCTTATATGATATTTATTTATCATTGAGGCATGTCGAAACATGAAAGACATGCTTTTGGGGGAAATACTTCCAATGTTATTGAGTTCTCAGTCAAGTGGTTTAATTGCTTAACTTTCGTTGTTGTAATGTAAAAAAACTAATATATTTGAATAAAAACAAAGTGAATTCAGAGAAGAAAATTTCCTTTTCGACGAAATCATTTACATAAGCTATGCATTCGTATTTATACTTATATGGAAAATATATGTCTATAGAAGGATAGAGAAGATTGTATCATAAATTGATTTGAGAATCTTATTATCAAATGAGGTTACGCAATAATCAAGGGGTAAGAAAAGAATCTAAGGATAAAAATAATTTACGTGTCTGAATTATGAAAGGTAATTGTCCAGTTGACAGATATGAAAAAAAACGAGAAACGTAAAGGTCACAATGATAACAACGGAATAATAATCATGAAAAATTATTAAAGAATAATAATAACTGATCACGGTTTAAAACTACAAAACATTAATTTAAAAAAGAAACACACTACAGAGGGGAATTAGGATCAAGGAAAAATGAGAAGTTGGACGTACCGTTTTCACACGCAGGGTTCGAGCTTGAATTGATGAATCGCCGATGCCTCAGTAGTTCATAAGTTTTTGATTCGACATCCCTTCGATCCAGTTCCTTTTAAAAGAAGACTCCTTCGGAACTATGTGTTCAGAGTTGATTAGATGCTGCTGTATTGAACTGATAATTTTTTTGCATTCTCCTTTGAAAAGCCATTCCGGGTAGTGTTCTGAGATGCACTTGGAAAGTGATCATCTTATGTGGCCAATTTAACCTGATCCACATGAGCAAGTAAACTTATAGATGCACATTGATATGGCTCAAAGTGGAAGTTTATCCTTAACACATCCATAGATGGTAGGCCGGTTTAAGAAAACAATTCGAAGCTTAGCTGAGTAGAAAGTTTTATTCAACAACCATAACTCCTTTAAATTCGTTATTCATAAAAAGAGTTTTCTTTTGTACTTTCTCTAACTCTGTTGAATATCGATTTTACATCAAATGTCAACGCTCTCATGGTTACTGACATTCATCAGAAGTATGTATAGTGAATGACAACTCAGGTGGGGAAATCAAAATTATGGTAAAATTCATACACTAAATACATCATTTGCAAATCTTCTTTGTCTTTCATTACCATGTATATTAAATGTATATTCAAATAATGAGAATTTACAAAAGTTTTAAAATAATGAACATTGAACTAACTAAAATAAATTATTAGATTGAGATCATGAACCGATTGATGTTAGATCACCATTGAAAACCCGGACGCATTGGACGGCCGTTTCATCCTATTGTGGGACCCCTCAGTAGTGCGCATCCACGGCCCCGCTCGCGGGATTCGAACCCAGGGCCTTCAGTCTCGCGCTCAAACGCTTAACCTACTGAACCACTGAGCCTTCATCCAATGGTGTTAACTTCTAGCCTCAACATCAATCGGTTCATGATCTCAATTAAAAACTTAACAATCTCCACAACCACTAAACTGATAAAACTATTGAAATCTGATCAACAGAACAAGATCTCATTGTAAAAATTGATTTTTGTTATAATTTCACTGTTTAATTCATGATATTATTGAAGAAAAAAAACTAGACAATATTAAACTTTAAAAGTGTCAATTAACAATGTTACATTCAAAACACATTCAACAATTTGTATGTTTTGTGTCTACTTCTTAGATGATCTGATCTTTTCATGTTGAAATTCATCTTTGAAAATATATCATATATGTAGAATCAATAGATGTACAATAGAGTTCATGTTCCTGTTTATGAATGCGTCAAAGTATATCATAATTGAAATCTTTCAAATATAATATATTACTGTCATATACATCTTAAAGAAACGATCATAATTTTTATATTTTTCTAGTTTAATATAACAAAATAACTTTCTTTTACATACCTGAATAAATTCATCATTGGCTTGCATTAATGTTTTCATTTCATTAGTTGAATGAGGAAAATGACCAATTGGAAATTCATCTACTAATTCTGGATAATCCATATCACTATGAGCATCAATATGAAGCTAAAACAATAACAAAATCATTAAGATTGTTTATTTTCATTTATAGTAGTTAATGAAATGAGCATATATACATTTCTGACCAGAAATCATACACCTACTACGGTGAATGAGAACACAAGTGGGGACAATCGAATATATATTTGAACATAAACTACAGAACATCTTAGTAGAATCTAAAGAAACCATACAACAAATACTTGATTTACGAAATGTCAGTCAATTGTCTCAGACTTCATTGTTCTTTAGTTTTCATACCAATCATTATTTGTTCTCATTCTCTTTTATTGAATCTTATTAACTTTCTACTGTTAGGCATTTCATTTTCGATTGATGATACATACTACTTATATCTATCGATATCAGTAGCATACATCATAATAATTTTGAACAAATATTTAATATTATTCAGGTTAAAGTTTTATCTAGTTTATCTTCTAAAATGACCTTAATTGGACAATGTTCAGTAATTCAATAATCTACTACAGATTTTTTAGATAAGCTCTGAAACACAATTTTTTTTCATGTGACGAATGTTTAAATCAAGGAAACTGAGGAGGGATTCTTGTTCATTTTGGACATGTCACTATACAAATATAACTGGGATATCTGTTGAGGTTCTATCAAGAGAGTTATACGTTGGAATTTAGGCTTTATTAGCTATACAATAAAATTAGAAATGTATAAGCGGGGAAAAAACTATCAACCATATTGTTGATTATTAGAGACAGTGATATTGGAGTTTGATGGTGAAATGCTATAAAATATTTAGTTTTGCACATTTAAATAAATAATGGAAAAAACGTAACACAACACATTTACACATATCAAAGAAAATAAGCATCAAAGATTAAATGCCATTTTCCTCAGGTTCTTCGTACTGTGAGAGAGAACAAAGCAGATCCCAACGGAGGAAGAAATCAGGAAGAAGTGATGGAAGTGGATAGAACACACATTGAGGAAAGCATCCAACTGCATCACAAGACATGCCCTCACATGGAATCCTCAAGGCCAAAGAAGAAGAGAAAAACTAAAGGACACATTACGCTGAGAAATGGATACAGATATGAAAAGAATGAACAACAATTGGATAGAACTAGAAAGCGAGGCTCAAGACAGATTGGGTTGTAGAATGCTGGTTGGCAGCTTATGCTCCACTGCGAGTAACAGGCGTTAGTAAGTAAGTTTTCTTCTTCTCAACAAATGTCAGGAAATAAAAGGTGTATATCCTAAACTGTATTCTGAGAATCATTGCTGAGTTTATTATATCATAGTCATTTTTCATTATCTCTCATTTGTATATGAGGAAATGACCCTATTTATGAAATTTATGAAATCGTATTATTTCAAAAATGGAGACAAGTTCAAATTTCTTAACAGTGTGAATGTATAGTTTACATTATAGACTAACCTTAGCTAATGATTTAGATAGGTTTTGTTCAATATTGCATCAAAGCTTAATAAATGAAGAAGACTGTATCTGAACGAGAGATAAAACTATATACAGTCATTTGAAGTAACCAGCTTTGCCCATCTATCAGAAATGAATGTTGTTTGAAGATATCGAACAAGAAAATTTTCAGATTTTGTTATTCAAGTTAGTCAGAGAATGAATATAATATTGGCCACAGTGATATGTTTAATTAAGTTTTAATGCTACTCTTGTGTTCTTTAGTTCCATAAAGTAGGAAATCATAGCAACCGAGTACATTCTTTTTTATCTAGTTTACATCATGACTTGATCTTAATTAGACAACCATTGAAAAACGGGAAATACAGAACAACTTTTTCGTTGTAGTATGCGACTTTTCAGGTATTGAAAGTGGGATTTTCACATCTGAAAGAGAATGTTCAACCCATGAACTACGGATTCACTGTCAAGTGGTTTACATTTACGATTTCAATCAGTTCACGATATTTTGCAAGCATCTTTCATTGGGATTGGAGAATAATTGGCTAACATGCAATATTGTTGAACTTCAGTAATCACCAACATCGAAGAACAACGAAACAGGTGGGTAGAACACTTCAAAGAACTCTTGAATCGACCAGCTCCACTGAACCCACCCAACATCGAAGAAGCAACCACGGACCTCCCAATCAATGTTGGCCCACCAACAATTGAAGAAATCAACATGGCCATCAGACAAATCAAGAGTGGCTAAGCAGCAGGACCAGAGAACATCCCAGCAGAGGCACTAAAAGCAGACCTAGAGGTAACTGCAAGGATAGTCCACATTCTCTTCAATAAGATTTGGGATGAGGAACAAGTACCAAAAGACTGGAAAGAAGGACTTCTGGTCAACATACCGAAGAAAGGTGATCTCAGCAAGTGTGATAACTATAGGGGCATCACTCTTCTCTCAATACCGGGAAAAGTCTTCAACAGGGTATTGTTAAACAGGATGAAGAACTCCGTAGACGCCCGACTTCGAGACCAACAGGCAGGATTCCGTAAGGATAGATCGTATACAGGCCAAATCGCAACTCTACGGATCATTGTGGAACAATCAATTGAATGGAATTCATCACTCTACATCAACTTCATTGACTACGAAAAAGCATTTGATAGTGTGAACAGAACAACACTATGGAAACTTCTTCGATACTACGGCGTGCCTCAGAAGATAGTCACTATCATACAGAATTAACATGATGGATTACACTGCAAAATTGTGCATGGAGGACAGTTGACAGACTCGTTCGAGGTAAATATCGGTGTCAGGCAAGGTTGCTTACTATCACCCTTTCTCTTTCTCCTGGTGATCGACTGGATCATGAAGACGTCAACATGTGAAGGGAAACGCGAGGTACAATGGACATCTCGGATGCAGCTGGACGATCTAGACTTCGAAGATGATCTGGCCCTCCTATCGCAAACACAACAAATGCAGGAGAAGACGACCAGTGTAGCAGCAGCCTCAGCAGCAGTAGGTCTCAATATACACAAAGGGAAAAGCAAGATTCTTCGATACAACACAGCATGCATCAATCCAATCACAATTGACGGAAAAGATTTGGAAGATGTAAAATCCTTTACATATTTGGGCAGCATCATTGATGAACATGGTGGGTCTCATGCAGATGTGAAAGCGCGGATCGGTAATGCAAGAGCAGCATATTTACAACTAAAGAATATCTGGAACTCAAAGCAACTGTCAACCAACACCAAGGTCAGGATTTGCAATACAAATGTCAAGACAGTTCTACTATATGGGGTGGAAACTCTGATAACTACGAAACCCATCATCCAGAAGATACAAGTGTTCATTAACAGTTGTCTACTCAAAGTATTTTGAATCTGTTAGTCAGACACAACCAGCAACCACCTATTGTGGGAGAGAACGAATCAGATCCTAATGGAGGAAGAAATCAGGAATAAGTGATGGAAGTGGATAGGACATATATTGAGGAAAGCATCCAACTGCATCATAAGACAAGTCCTCACTTGAAATCCTCAAGGTCAAATAAAGGAGAAGAGAAAGACCAAAGAACTTATTACGCCGGGAAATGGGAATAGACATGAGAAAAATGAACAAGAATTGGATGGAATTAGAAAAGAAGGCCCAGGACAGAGTGGGTTGTAGAATGCTGGTTGGCGGCCTATGCTCCATTGGGAGTAACAGGCGATAGTAGGTAAGTAGTAAGTTCACTAATCATAATTTCTCACTTGAATTTTTTGAACGTTTTCTAGAGATTAGTCGCTAACTGACATCTGATTATTAATATTATTGTAATCCGACTATCTACACAAACCCTTTACACTAAAGCTGACGGTCAAATAAATCGAAAGGGTATTTTTTGGTACTAATTATTGTTCATTCTGAATACTGTTCTGATTATCACTTTTTTCCATTATCGAACAATCTGAAAGAGATCTTTAATGGATAAGTGGTGCAATATTCAAAATCAAAAGATTTTTAATCATGAAGACTTTCTTCTGTTGGTGAATACACAGAAGGTCAAGTTTCCATGTGTAAAATGACCAATTCCAGCTTCATACATACACTTAATCTGGTAATACGATTAAAATTGAACTATCGTAAATTTAGCTTTGAAAAATTGTTTGATTAATTAACAAATTACTGTGTATTACTGATCAACTCTCTCTCAGAGAGACATGATCACTTATTAGTTGAAAGCTTTTACCCACACAGTTAGTCAAACCAGTACTGTATTAGATGTTCACTGTTAACACTGATTGAAGTTCAAGTTATATTGCCAATTTAAAGAGCTTGAGAAAAAAAATTATCGGACCCTTACTTGACTTCTAAAAGTCTATATGATAACTCTAAGAAACGCGGGCAACCTGGAATTGACTGAACTCAATTTGATATGAAAACTAGTCTATAATTGTTAAATAGGACTTCAATTCTTTCGAGTTTCAATAACCAAAATGCCCTCTCTTGTCAAAATATTTGAATAGAATTTTATATTACTTATAAGTAAGTAAACGTATTTAACAAACATTATAAATGTAATTTCGATAATTATGATCATGAGTCAATTGAAGCTAGACCACCATGGAAAACCTGGAAACACTGGACGGCCGATTCGTCCTATTGTTGGACTACTCACCAGTGCACATCCACGATACCGCCTCGTGAGATTCCAACCCAGGATCTATCAAATTTGCTTGTGAACGCTTAACCACTAGGCTATTGAGCTGGCCGGCATCCAACGGTCCTAATGTCTAACTTTAACCAATACTTTCTGATCCCCACTCACTTGCTTTTCTAACGGACTGAGTATACATATGATCTTACCTCTTTAATGAATGATATCATCTAAGAGGAAATTGTCATTGTTGTGTAATTTTTTATTATTTACATTTGAAGAGCAGGTTACTTGCATTAGCTGTTCAACACAATTTATTCTAGTCATTACTCTGTTTTTTTCC